CAAGTACAAAAAAAAAAAAAAAAAGGAAGGACCTATAATTTGGTCCTGCAGTCTGTGTATGTATGTGTATATGTATATGTATATACATCAGTATATGTATATTTATACACACACATACACATGTATGTATGTATGTATGTATATGTGTATGTGTATGTGTGGGTTTTGGCAACTGAACTAGGCCAAAAGGATATCTGGAAAACTAAAGGAACTACTTAGTACACTGAATTTAGACTTCTCTGGGTTGACCTCATAATCTGGAACTGTTGCTCACAGAAACAAGAAGTAGAAAAGAAATGGAGATGAAGGCTATTCATTTTATAAGAGGATTGCTTTCAGGGAATTTTAAACGCTGGTATGGGTTGCAGGTGGTGGGTGGAGGCTTCAAGATTCCAAAGAATAACCTTTTTTTTTTTTTAAATAGTCATCCAGCTTCTTTCCTTTGGAGAAATTGCCTACTACTAGGCTTCTCTTATGAACAATACTGAAAAAGCAGTATTACATAGAAAAAAGTGTTCAGTGTGTTATTTTTTGTTTGTTTTGTTTTGGTACAAGGGATTAAATCCAGGGTGCTTTACCACTGAGCTACATCCACAGTCCTTTTTATTTTAGGACAGAGTCTCCATAAGTTACTGAGGCTGCCCCAAACTTGGTATGTATTCTCCTGTCTCAGCCTCCTAAGTCACAGGGATTATAGGCCAGTGACACCGCGACCAGTACCACCATTTTAAAAATCATTTTCATCTCTAGCAGATTTGTTGCTTTTAAAATTGTAGTTGGGTTAAGTAATATTTCAGTAGTCACTCAACCTTTTGTCCCAAATCAGATTTATCAAATTCTTTACATACCTGTCCTTTGAGTGAGAATGAAAGTTTCCCCACCCCTTCCACAAGATGTTAATGTTATTTTGAAAAAGAAACATGTAAAATGTTACTTGAGGCTCGAGGTCTTCCTCCTTAGGTAGCATAAAAAATGATACTTTGTGCAAGACTATCTCTGCTTTGAAATACATTAAAATCAACCCGAGATTGCCATTTTGTTTGAGGCTCTTCATCTCTCTCACTGGTATTTGAAACTCGGTATAACAAGTTTCAATTTTAAAAGGAACCAGTTTTGAATTGAAAACTAGCACATCTTGGGTTGAAATGCCATTCGCAAGCCTTTCTCTAGGAAAACATTTTGCTGAAAGTTCTTTTTTCCCCTTCCCTTTTTGGGGCTTTTTGCCAGGTTGAGAGGGTGGCGACTGCTCTAAGACATGGATAGATGCAAACATGTAGGACGGTTGCGGCTCGCCCAGGACCACTCCATCCTGAACCCTCAGAAGTGGTGCTGCCTGGAGTGCGCCACCACCGAGTCGGTGTGGGCTTGCCTCAAGTGTTCCCACGTGGCCTGCGGCCGCTACATTGAGGACCACGCACTGAAACACTTTGAAGACACTGGACACCCACTAGCCATGGAAGTCCGGGATCTCTACGTGTTCTGCTACTTGTGCAAGGACTATGTGCTCAATGATAACCCGGAGGGGGACCTGAAGCTGCTGAGAAGCTCCCTCGTGGCGGTGCGGGGCCAGAAGCAGGACCAGCCAGTGAGACGTGGGCGGACACTGCGGTCCATGGCTTCGGGCGAGGACGTGGTCCAGCCGCAGCGTGCTCCTCAGGGACAGCCGCAGATGCTCACGGCTCTGTGGTACCGGCGCCAACGCTTGCTGGCCAAGACACTGAGGCTGTGGTTCGAGAAGAGCTCTCGGGGCCGGGCGAAACTGGAGCAGCGGCGGCAGGAGGAGGCGCTGGAGCTCAAGAAGGAAGCGGCGCGGCAAAGGCGGCGCGAGGTAAAGCGGCGGCTGCTGGAGGAGCTGGCCAGCGCCCCTCCGCGCAAGAGCGCGCGCCTGCTCCTGCACGCGCCCCGCCGCGCGGGCCCTTCCGCCGCGCGCTCGGCCGCGCTCTCCGCCTCCCGCCAGATGCCGGGCGCTTCTGCGCTCAAGCCGCGCCGCCAGCCGGCGGTGGCCCCCGGCGTGACGGGCCTGCGCAACCTGGGCAACACCTGCTACATGAACTCCATCCTCCAGGTGCTCAGCCACCTGCAGAAGTTCCGAGAGTGTTTCCTGAACCTTGACCCATCCACCACAGAGCACCTGTTTCCCCAAGCCACGAACGGCAAGGCTCCGCTCTCTGGCAGGCCGGCCAGCAGCTCTGCCACCGAGTTGTCGGCGAGGAGCGACCGAGCCCAGGCGTGCGAGCGGGAAGGCCTCTGCTGGAACGGTGGGGCCTCCATCAGCAGAAGCATGGAGCTCATCCAGAACAAGGAGCCCAGCTCGAAGCACATTTCCCTTTGCCACGAACTGCACACCCTCTTCCGAGTCATGTGGTCCGGGAAGTGGGCCCTAGTGTCACCCTTTGCCATGCTTCACTCCGTGTGGAGCCTGATCCCCGCCTTCCGCGGCTACGACCAGCAGGACGCGCAGGAATTTCTCTGCGAGCTGCTGCACAAAGTACAGCAGGAACTCGAGTCAGAGGGCACCACGCGCCGGATCCTCATCCCCTTCTCCCAGAGGAAGCTCACCAAACAGGTCTTAAAAGTGGTTAACACCATATTTCACGGTCAGCTGCTCAGTCAGGTAGGTGTGGTTCACCCCCGACTCCGCCCAGCACCATGGAGGGAGGTGGGAGGCGGCTGTTGTAGTTTGAGTGTCCTGTGAATGCCTCCCCAGATTCCTGGGCTAATTAGGATAGCCAACATTTGTTGTGATTATGCATTTTGCCATTGTATCTGTTGTTGTATTGTACACTTTGATGGCCTTGTGAGTAAACTTGCCCACTCTTTCCAGCCAGGCCATACCACTTTATTTTCTGTGAATGGCTTTACCTGCTAATGAAGATATTGGTCATACAGTCATTGTTACAATTAAATACCCACTGTTGGTGTCCCATGCTGTGATCATTTTTAGGGGACTGAACAGAGTTTGCCTAGAACTCTAGTTCCATTCTGGTTTAAAGAGCATCTTAACCTACAAGGAAGAGAGGTGGCTGGGAGCATCCTAAAGGCTTTTAAAAAAGCCTCTTTTCTGTTCGCCTTTACTTTTCATTTCATTCCTGGATCTTTAGTCGTGTAGATTCATGGATAAGGTCTTGTGAGAATATGCAGACAGACTTTTTATAGATAAAAGAAAGGAGGTGGGCAATGTAAGAGATTCAGGTTAACCTGTAGTGAACTGAAGGACTGATGAGTGGGATGAAAAGAGAAAGTTTATTGATGCTTTTTTTGAGCATGTAAAGTGCAAATGGTAAAGTTATAGTGGGAGAGGAATTCTAGTCACAGTACTTTGAGGCTCTGCAGACAGAGAATCAATGTAGGGGAGCTTCAGTTAACAAGAGTAAAAAGAGAGGCCAAGTTGGCTTCAAGTTGGGAGGAGGAATTTGAGGGTGAATGAAGTAGACAGTGACCTGTAAATCATCCATCTCAGACTGATTCCTTGAATGCCTTCAGTATAATTTGCAGTCTATATTGCTGCAGCATTCCATGGTGCATCATACTTTGATGAAGATGAAGAGAGAAAGCAGTAGGTATAATCACTGTGTTCTGTGGTTTTCCAGTGTGTAACTAGTATCACATAGCTAGAAATGCACACCGATATAATATGCTCCAATTCTTTTAAAGTTTTATTATTTTGAAAATTATATACTTAGCTTTGATAAAGTTATTTGTTTAAATCAAGCAAAAATGTGTGTGGAAAGGTAGAAAATTATATAATCTGCAAATGAATCTTTTCCTTCTAGGTCACATGTATATCTTGCAATTACAAATCAAATACTATTGAACCCTTTTGGGATCTGTCCCTGGAATTCCCTGAACGCTATCATTGCATAGAAAAGGGGTTTGTTCCTTTGAATCAGACAGAGTGCCTGCTTACTGAGATGCTGGCCAAGTTCACTGAGACAGAGGCCCTGGAAGGGAGAATCTACGCTTGTGACCAGTGTAACAGTGAGTACTAAGTAGAGAAATGATGGGGGTAGAGGAGGTTGGGACTGGAATGTCAATTTAAGGTGCTTCTTTTGTCCCTTTAGTGTAGAGTAACACCAATGATATTGAGTGGTTTGAATTCATCTTCTAAAGATACTTTACTCCCATTTTCTAAAAATAAGCAATATGGACTTTGTGTATTAAAAACAAAGGCCCATCCTGATTGTCATTAGTTGTTATCCTGGGAGGTATTTGAAAGTGGTTCCTGAAGTAGAATGTTACTGAGAATGATACTACTTAGCTTCATAGTGTTTAAGTTCATGAATGTGGAGCCTGACAATTCTTTTTTAGTCTAAATTCAGGCAGCATAGCCTGTTTGAGGGTTGGGGTCTCAGAAAATCATGTTCTTGTACTGAATTTGGTAGATTTAAAGTCAGAAGTGATGCTAAAGATTGGTATAGTGGGACCAAGACAGCAAGTCTTGAGGTGTTCATTGTCAGCTTCATGGATGTTTTCTGTATGTTTTTTTCCTTCACATACTTGAAAGGTTCACATTTCAGGGATGATCTTGAGGTCAAGTTTTTCTATAGTGTTGTTTTAAATTGAAATTGTGACTCCTTCCATATAGTTACATTGATATCTAATGCAGGATCTTTTGTAGCACTTAATGCTTCTGTTAACCCATCATGTGAGAGGAAATGCAGAGCAAATATGAGGAAGCTCAGGTTTGGTTTTTATGGCATATAAAGATTTAGAAACTAAAATATTAAAGTAGGCTGGGCACAGTGCCACAAGCCTGTAATCCCAGCAGCTAGGGAGGCTGAGGCAGGAGGATTTCAAGTTCAAAGCCAGCCTCAGCAACTTAGCGAGACCCTGTCTATAAATAAAATATAAAAAAGGGTTGGGGATGTGGTTAAGCACCCTGGGTTCAAAGCGCGCGCGCACATACACACACACACGTAATGGATTGTTCAAAGACCTAGAAATCAATTTGCAGCCATATAATTCAGTTCAGACTATAAATTTTGGGGAAAAATTATTAGAGTTATTTTTGCAGTGCTAGGGATTGAACCCAGGGCTTCATGCATGCTAGGCAAGCATTCTATCACTGAGCTGCACCCCCCCAGAACTGCCAAAAAAAAAAATCTTATGGTAGTTCTTTTTTTTTTGGTACCAGAGATGATTGAACCCAGGGGCACTTAGCCACTGAGCTACATCCCCGGCCCTTTTTTATATTTTATTCAGACAGGGTCTCTCTGAGTTGCTTAGGGCCTCACTAAGTTGCTGAGGCTGGCTTCAAACTTGCCATTTTCCTGCCCCAGCCTCCTGAGCCACTGGGATTACAGGCATGCACCACCTCACCCCACCGGTAGTACTTCTTAATGTATTATGCACATGGTTTTTTAAAACAGTAAGTTGTGGCAGCTGGGCATGGTGGTCCATACCTCCCAGTAACTTGGGAGGCTGAGTCAGGAGGACTGCAAGTTTGACACCTCAGCAACTTAGTGAGAGAGACCCTGTCTCAAAATTTTAAAAAGGTGGTAAAGTGACCCTGGGTTCAATTTGCAGTTCCACTAAAAAAAAAAAAAAAATCATGCTAGATATAATTTTGCCATTTTAAAATTGGACATATACTTGGCTAACTGTAAAACCACCTATCCCATTTCATTTTGGATACAGAGGCAGGTGAGAGGCAGGTGAGTTAAATTGTTTAATTAAAGCAGTTCCTGTTTTTTTTTTTTTTCATGTTTCATAAAGCTTTCTGCTTGTAAGAAACAAAAGGATATTAACAGCTTTAACTCCATCTTTGTGGACGTGATAGATAAAGCTTTTTTTTTTTTTTTTTTTCAAGAAAGGATTGTTCTTTTGCTTGCCAGAGGTGCCATTTACCAGGATTTCTCTAGGCAGGTACAAATGCTGGCAGGGGAGGAAAACCAGTGAAGGGATAGATGCATTGATCTGTTGGTTGTGAAGTTCCAGAATTGTCAGTCTTCTACCTCTTTGTGTGGCCACCTTAATCAAACAGAGACAGCACTGATCAATCTTAATTGAATCAGTAATTTCTTTTTCTTTGTGAATTTCATTTTAGGGAAACAAAGCCGGATTCTACATTGTCTTCATCTTAGCTCACATACTCCCTCTGCTGAGGGTGGCAGTCACTGCCAGGTTCCCAAGCAGAGCTGCAATAATTTTCAAAAATGTTGTGAACAGGAATGGAAAATAGGGCCAGGCCCCTCTTTGAAGGCTTCTTCTGTTCCTGCCCCTGTGTGTCATGACTGCATGCCTTGATAAAAGCTTCTGCGGCATGCTCATTTTGATGCAGTCTATTTTGAGCAGCTACACGTCCATATCCTATTGTCACAGAAAGCTGTGATACGTCATCAGGCTGTGCTTGGCTGCCTTTCACAAGTCCTACAGACTGGACTTGGAATCAGATGCCCAGCTCTTCATATACTGAGACCATGAGAGCAACAGCTCAGAGAAAATTAGCAGGCACCTCAGCGGACCACTAATTTTGTAATCCCACCCATTTGCCTCTCTGTCAGTAAATGGTTATAGAGAAGGCTTCTGTTGGAAATTAAGAGAACTTTATTTCCATTGATTATTTGCTAAAATTTTAGAAATGCATTTTCCCCACAATTCAGTAGTTTTAGAAACAAAGCGAAAGTCTGGTTCTACTTTGGATTGGATGAACTTGGCTGGCTTATCAGCCTTGTCTTGCATGCCTAGTAGTATGCCTTATCCTAGAACCATGTTTCAAAACTAGGCACAGCATAAAAAATTGAAACAGCAAAGTTTATTTTTTGAATATTTGTATATGCCACAAATCATACTGAAAAAATGTTTAAATATTTGTCCTTCAGTAATCTTATACATTTATCTTTTTCCTAATCCTCAATTATATGCATTAGTCCCCATTTTACTGGTGAGGAAACGGAGATTCAGAGTTTTAAATAATTTTTAATTCATTTAGCCTACAACTAGCTGTAAGCAGAAAATTGAGTTAGGCTTATTTTATGAAAATAAAAAGCTTTTTAAAGTTATAGTGCATCATAATTTAAGTTATAAGTGTATAAAACCCTGGCATATTCAACCCTATGTACATGCTATTGCAGTGACTGTCCATTATATTCCATCAATGAATTCATGACATCTAGAGTGTGCTATCCTGAACCCATACCAATTTGTTTTAGTTGCTTGTAACAGTCAACTCAAATAAAAATGACTTAAATGAAATAAAATTTTACTTTTTTTTTTTTTTTTAATAAAAGAAGTCTGAAGGACATTCAGGGGCTGGCATGGTGACTGCATGGTCATCAGGAACCCAAGCTTCTCCCTCCTGGTATACTATCCTAGTGCAAGACTTCCATCTTCAAGGTCGTGGTCCCAGAGGAGTTCTAGAAAACCATAGGAAGGACAAAGGGATGACCCTGCAACTGAGTCAGCCCCCCTTAAGCAGCCTTCCCAGAGTGCCACAGTCACTCCTTTCATCTCAGCAGTTCCAGAGCCACACCATGCAGACATGAGAAGCTGGGAAGTGCAATCTTACAGAGCATCACATTGCTGCCCCAAATAAAACTAGGGGTCAAATACTAAGGAGAATGCATACTGAATGGCAAGTCATCGTCTCTGCCATAGCTAGGAAAGAATGAGACTCCTTACAACCTATGTCTTATACCTTCCCAAACCATATAGGCAAACGACGCAAGTCCAACCCCAAACCCCTTGTTCTGAGTGAAGCTAGAAAGCAGTTAATGATCTACAGACTACCTCAGGTCCTCCGGCTGCACCTTAAAAGATTCAGGTGAGCTTGCTCTGGGAGTCCCAGATGGTTGTGAGCTGTGGGAATAGCTGCCTCAAAGGCTTGGAGAGGGCAGACGTCTATCTGCTTTGGTGTCGGGAGGGAAAGTTTATTCTCTTGAGACCTTGAGCTTTCCATGGAGATTCAGTGGTTTACATACAGGAAGGCCAACTGAATTTGGAACCCAGCAGGACTGGGCTTCTGCTCTTGGCCCTGTTTAACTGTCTAGCCTGCACCAGATATATCTGTGCCTGAAGATTTTCTAGCCTTGCTTGGACTCACTGTAGATTCATCTTCAGGATGAAGTTACATAAAATCATCTGTGAAAAGAAGGGCAGGTAGTAAATTGTAAAGATTGTTGCCTGAAATGCTTGTTTAGGAATTTCTAGGTTCAGAGTACTTTGTGGAACAGTCACAGAAAATGTATGTGGACATTGGTTATTACATTTTATTGATGGGAAAACCAAAGGCAGAAGCTTAAGTTTTCTCACTTCCCTGTTTTGCTTAAGGCTATCTATGAGCACATGTGGCAGTTTTCACTAGTAAGATGTTTATGTCCGTGTTCTAGGTGGTCTGGCCGTAACCATCGAGAGAAGATTGGGGTCCATGTCGTCTTTGACCAGGTATTAACCATGGAACCTTACTGCTGCAGGGACATGCTCTCCTCTCTTGACAAAGAGACCTTTGCCTATGATCTCTCCGCAGTGGTCATGCATCACGGGAAAGGGTTTGGCTCAGGACACTACACAGCCTATTGCTACAACACAGAGGGAGGTGCGTGCGCTTTACTCTGTGGGGTGGGGGACACGGAAAAGGGTTGGTGTGTCCACAATTTATTGCCTTCCTTTTATTTCCATCCCACAGGTCACCTATGGGGAAACCATATATGTTAAAATTCAGTGAAAAGAAATATGAAAGATTCAAATTTTTGATATATACTAAGTAACATTATAAGTTGATTTAAAAATTAAAAGGAACTGACACATGTAAAAGTGCTTAGATCAGTGCCTAGTATATAATACTGGCTCAATCTATCACAGTATTATCAGTACTATTGGTTATTGATAGTATTACTATTGCTGTGGTAATGATACTTCTGCAGACCTCAGTTTCCTTCTTGGTTATGCAGAAACTATAGTACCTCTGTGATTTTGTGGAGATATTATGAATCTCACTAGCTTCACTCAAAATAAAGCTGAGGACATTCCTGAGCACTTTCTGTGTTCTTATTACTTCCCTTACTCTGGGAAGAGTGGGGATGCAAGGGCTTCTCCAAAGGAGCTTGTTGCCCAGGGCAGAGCTTCCCAACTACCATATTGAGGCATATGGGGTGCAGATACATTTTCAGCAGTGCCCCAGTTTTGAACCCCTCAGCACCTGGGGCACCCAGAGGCTGTGAACAAATAACTTATCCTTCTAATTTTCCTTTATCACTCCTATTTTCATTTTTCTCCTCCTTGTCCAAATACTTAGTCCTCAGGATCTTGGCTATCTTTGTGGAATGTTCTAATGGCCAAGGAAAAAGCCTGAGTAAGCTGATGACAAAAACGACAGTCAGTGAATACTGTATGCAGTATTCATGGTTAGTTTTGGTAGACCAACAGTTACAGAGAACCCTGGTTTCATTCACTCGTCCTTCCTGCATCAACAGTAATCCAAGGGTGGCTCTAATTAGAACTCCTCTGTTCCTTTCTTCATCTCCTGGTTTGCTGCTGACTGGAAATGTGAATTAGGAAGTCATTTTCTTTTTCTCTCCTTTGGTTTCCTAGGTTTTTGGGTCCACTGCAATGACTCAAAGCTGAATGTATGCAGTGTCGAGGAAGTGTGCAAAACCCAGGCCTACATTCTTTTTTACACTCAAAGAACAGTGCAGGGCAATGCAAGAATCTCAGAAACACAACTCCAAGCTCAGGTGCAGTCCAACAACAAGGATGAAGGCAGACCACAGATATTCCCTTGATTGAGAGGCATGGATAAAGACTGCTTTGATTTTAATCCATTGGTGTCCACACATCTTTCCCCTCATAGGAAATAAGGCTACTGCAGGAACAGATTACTAGGTTTGCCTCACTGGGGCTACAGCGGAAGATGCCAGGTGATTCATGTTCTGTCATAATGTTTGTAGTCACTTTCTTTTGAATGCATTTAGAAATCCCCTCCTTTCATAAAACAAAAGGAGTAACTTCTATGAAGATTCTTTCATCAGTTGCTTCTGAATATAGAGGGATCTGAGTTGAGGAAAGGAGGGGGTGGGGATTGATCATCCAGCCAGGAGAACAGCTGTGTCTTTGGTCCCATTAGGTGAGTCCTCTACTAACCAGGGCCTCTTAGCAGCACCAGAACATTCCCAAGGTGAGCAACTCTGAACAGAGCACATGAAGAGGGCTCCTGGGCTGGCAGCTTTTGGATGGGATTGGTTCTGACGTGGGAGGTAAAGTCCACAAGGGAAGTAACCTTCAAGAGTTAAAACTCGGAAACTTCCTTTTTCAGGGGATAGCAGCTGAAGAGTGGAATGACACATGGTGTGTTCACGTGTCATACCCTCCCCGGCTGCTGCTGCTGTTTAATCACTCTATACTTCTGGGACTGGCATGAACACCCCTTCCTTTAAAAAAAGGGACAGTTGACATGAAGCAGTGGACCAGTACATGTTCTCTGCTGCATGCTGAGCCAAGGGGCTCTCCTGGCTATCCCAGGTCTGTAGCAGTTCCTTGGTTCAGGTCTAGGGCAAGCTTATGGTTCAGTTTAAATTGGTTAGGAGGTCAGTTGTCTCAGGCTTTCTCCGAATGCAGTAAGGGCGGGCAGGGCTTATCTGAATGGCTGCTGCCCTTTCTTACCTTGGTGTAGCACTTGGCTTCTTTACCTGCAGATTCTTTGTTACGCCTGGAGAGGTAGAATATTGGTGTTTGTAAGGCTTGGGAGCTTTTGCTTTCCCTAGGGTGGGGGAATTACTTAGGAATCCACTGTGTGTGTCCAGTTTATTGCAATGGCCCTGGCCTGTTTCCTTCTCATCTGCTACTCCCTATTGTTGCTTTAGCTACCTATCCTCGGTCCATCAGAGAAAAAATCAAAAGTGCCCTCTCCTTTATTCCAGTACTAGTAAAATATATTTTTCTTTTAAAATTTGGTCAGTTTCCAAATGAGATGAGTTTGCCAAACAAAAACTCTCCCTGACATCAGGCACCAGAATTTCCCTTCTTAGTCCTTTGCTTAAACTCCCAATGAAAGTGAAGGCAAACACCTATGTTTATTATTGTGGTGCTTGCGACAGTGAGCCCCAACCTGTCCCTATGAATGCTCATCTTTTGACTGAGTATATCATATTGTTTGAATTCAGGTAGAAGTACAGTTGTCACTTGAAGGGAGTAGAAATGGAAGGGAGTTTGGGGAGGGGTGGGGCATGGGAAAAGTGAAGCTAAAGAGCGAGGGTTATAGCTTTAACAGTGCTGATGAGCCACATTTCCCAAACAGATCTGTAGCATTTGCTGTTGATCTCAATTTTGAGTTGAACTCTCCTGTAGAACCTACCCGATAACACTGAGCATGGAGGAAATTCAGACAGAAAATGGCTTACCCTGATAGGAAGGAGTGACTATATTTTAAATTATACTTGCTTTTTCCAACACTGTGAGGTTTCTGTAATATTTAGCTTTTATTTGGAAGCGATAGCGTATGGCATTTTTATGCTGTTTGGTTTATATTGTCTACTGCAGGCTTCTTTGTATAAGCTTTGCCTGGGTTCACCCTCTCCTGAACACTGTTTTAAAGTGTCCACAGCTGCCAATGCTGTCAGAGGCTCTGATGTGAAACTGTACTCTCAAAGTCCACATTCCTAAGTTGGCATGACTGGTGATGACTTCTTGTGGCAACAGTAAAGTCCATTAACAACAACAACAAAAAAAAAAAAAAAATGAAGGGAGTGAAAAAGTAAAGGAAACTGAACCGTGCCTCATCTTGACACCTATGTTTATTATTCTAATAATAAGAGAACTTGCAAGATAGAGAACAGATAGAGCACCTGCTTCACCCCTCTGGCTGTCCAGAAATACTGATTAGTAAACAAAAATTAAAAGGTTTTCAATTTTTATTTAGAAAATAGCATACCAAACACTGTAAAGATTATTAGGCAGATTATTTGTAAAATAGTGCTTGTTAGCTGAGCATTCACTTATCAAATTAATAAAGTCATTTAAAATGAGTTGGAACAGAAACCAACATCAGAGTTGCCCTTAAGCTACACAATTATGAAGGTGCCCATTGCAATCACAGACACCTCAGGTACCAGAAGCAGCAGCACTAGGCACTGTTAAGTTAGTTTTTAAGGAGATTTTTCTTTTTTTAGAACAGAAGAGTTCACCACTGCAAAAGCCAATAGTTAAGGGAAGTGTCCCTTTGCCTTTAAGTTATTTACATTGGAAACAGATGAATGTCTCAGTTGCATCTTATATTAATTGAAACATTAGGAAAAAATGAAAATAAGAACAGGTAGAAGTTGACTAGCTGCTGCCAAATCAAACCCAAGATCTACTGAATCTTAAAGGGCCTGCTTCTTTCCCAGGGCAAGTAGTTAAGAGTCCCATTCCAGAAACCCTTTGTAGTTGGCTGGTGTGTTTACTTGCTGCTGTAACCAGCCAAGAAGAATGCACCCTGGCCCTCAAAAAACATTTCTTACCTCAGTCTAGCCTGACCCTTATACTTGTGGTTGCCTCTGAGACCAGCATCCATGCTAGTGTAAAAAAATTAGGAATGCCCTTGGCTGCCAGGAACTGAAGCACTTATTAAATGGTGGACAGAGTTCTTGCTAGCTTTGATCCAGCCCCTCTTAGGCTGAGGTAGGGGGCAGTGCCACACTGTAAAGAATTTCCAGATGTCTCTTAAAATGTCATGAACAAAATTGGAAACTGTAGAAGTGTTAATGTGTCCTATGGACTCAATAGCAAGAGTTTATTTTTGATTTTAAGGGCAAGGCTTCTAGAGCCAATGATTGTATGAGTTCCCTACTCTGGCTATGCTTACAACTCCATCCAAGTGCAAGGGAAGAACCAATGGGGTGGATTGGCTGGTAGTGGGGCATGCCCCAGTGCAAGCCAGAGAGGTAGACAGTAGTAAAGAATGAAAACTTGGTTGGGGGTAAAGGGGTGGGGGGGTGGGGGGACAAGAAGGGAGAAATGAAGTTTGTTTTACTTACTGATAAAGCTTTGTGAACTAATTTTATACAATTCATAAATTGGTGCCTTGTACTCAATTATGGTTTGCATGAGATTGAAAAGGAAAAGGATTCCTTCTTATCATTTCAAGTGGCAAATGGGTCTATGTAGTGTTGAAAGCATTTCATCTCTTGTGTGTAAATGCAAATCATTCTTACCAGCAAGTTCTGAAATTTTATTGTAATGTCCAAGTTGTTCCTATTTGTGATTATTCATCAAATGGCTCTTTCCAGGCCTGCTGTATACCCTTGTATGTTCCATACATTAACTCTGGCCTTTGCAAAGCAGGCTGGAAGACTACCCCTTCCTAAATGTGTTCTATATCCCTATTGGGGGTTAAAGCTTATAAGTGGAAGGGTTGCTTTTCCAGCTGGTTGGGAGAGCACAAATGATCAGAAAAGGCCTTTCAGTCTTTATCAAAATAATGATTTGTGCTGGGCAACTTGTGGTAGAAGTCAAACAAAAGTGGTTCTTCCTGAAGTGGTACCTCCATTGGTTCTGAAGTTCTTTTGCACAAAATAGCAAGAAGCAGTGTAGAAAACAATCCCCTATATGTGAATTCTAAGACAAACCAGTGCACTGTGTAATATGCAAAGGGAATGATGCAAAAGAGAAGCCTCCACCTGGGTCCCCACACCCTTTCCCAGGCAAATGTTGACTGGGATGGTGAGTGGATATGGAAGGTGGTGCTGAATGGCTGTAGGAGTGAGCTGAGTCCACTTACTGCAGGGCTGTTCTAAGCCTGTTTCTTTTGATTCCATCCAATCTTAAGGTTTCCCCTGAGCTCACTAGACTTCACACCAAAGGATTTTTTAAAAGCTCACCATTCCAAGCACACTTGATAACCAGGTTCCTTAGCCTAGTTACTGCACTAATTAGGTGAAGAGCTGTGCCTTTGGGGTAAAACTTCCCATGGCCACTTAGGTTTTCACCAGGCACATATGCATCTCTCTGGTGGCTTAGATTCTTTTTTAGTCAGCACTAAAGCTGAAAAACACCTTCTAAAAGAGGACTATGCGTTTAGTTTATATCTAACATTTTTAGCAACCATTTCCTAGGTCTAGGGCTGTGACTTTAGTCACTATGTACTTGTTCAGCTCACACACTGCTCTAGTTATACCAGAGTTACTATAGCACTGAAGCAGTCATTTTTGTGGATTTGTTCCATATTTATGCCGGCATGTTTCATTTAAATCCAGCTAGCTATGGGCATCTAGCTCAGGGGTAAAGCACATGCTGAGGCCCTGTGTTTGATCCCTAGCACCAAAAAAACAAACAAAAACCCAAAAAACAAAACAAAAACCTAGTCAAGGACTGACAAATGTAACTGGATCTAAAACTGACTTCCCTTGGAGAGAATGTTGTATTAGCAATGGTGAAAGCTAATACTTTCATTCACAGAATTAATGAAATTCCATCAAAAATCTTTAGAAATTGTAGACTTGATAGTTTTATTTACTAAATTCATAACTAAGCCAGTTTATATGAAACCTTACCCAACCAGCATTGTGGCTTTAAAAACCAACCAACAGTAAACACAATTACTTGAAATTAAATATGAAATTTTGAGTGAATTTTGAATTATGTTTCTGCAAGCTGCCATCTCTCCATGTTGATTTTCAACTTTGGAAACAATTTACTTTTGGCACTAGGGATTGAACCCAGGGATGCTTTACCACTAAGCTATATTCCTCACCCTTTTTATTTTCTGAAACAAGAATCTTGCTGTTTCAATCCTCTTGCCTCAGCCTGTTAAGTTCCTGGGATTATGGGGCCTGACCACAGCACCCAACTCAACTTCGGAAATTTTTATCAAATAGAATGAACAATTATGAGAAGATCAGGAAGCAGACTTTCAGAGTCTAAGTTTCATTCCTATAAAGGAGGTTGTGGTATTCTTTGTTGTTGCAGTAGTCTGATTTAGGTCTAATGGGGTTTAGCATCTGTTAGAGCTTAAAATTTTCCTCCTGATCTCCTGGAGGTAATGGCTTCAAACCTACGCCTCGCTCTCATATGTGACCACTCTTCATCTTGATAATCAGTTAAGATATAAACCTCTCAGAGGATCTCTAATCCCAGTGTACTGTACAAGGTCTTGGTTTCATATTAAGCCAGTCCCAGACCTGAATTCCCACAAGCTCATAGTTCATTCCTCTTATCAGATAAGACTTATCTGATGAATATTCACGAGAATGGTGCTTTCTAATTCTCAAGCAGCTTTCTTTTTATTATTATTTTTTCTTTTGGTGCTGGGATCAAACCCAGAGTCTAGTACATGCAAAGTACTTGCTCTGTCACTACATCACCAGCCCTTAAATAACTTTCTTAATGAAATTTATACCAGCAGGGTCGACTTGAGTTAAAAAAAAAAAAAAAAAAAGAATTGAATGAACAAATTGCTAAAGACAACGCATCTATCAGGTGTAACAAGCCACAGTGGTGCAGTTGTACTGATCCACCTAAAGCCCTTTAAACCCACAGCAGTTCCATATGCGTCTTGGCACATAAAAGCAGTGTTTTCTAAAATGCCTAATAAATTGACTAGAAAAAAATTATTATGGTGAACCTGTCCGTATCTTCACCTTTTTCTATGCCTATGAGTATTTCCATGCCAGTTCTTTATATATTCCATTTCCAAAGAACCCAAGTCCCTGGACAGTGGTGTTAAGAATATTAGGATCAAATTAAACATTTGTTTACTTGCAAAGGAAGCAGCTTCCTCAGCAGTCTCACTTTAGTGCCCACTGCCAAGGCTGACTTATATCGTCCTCCACCTATGCATCATTGCCCTCTTTATGCCACCAAACCTCATTCTATCCCAGCAACGATGCCTCCCTGGTGCCTGGAAAACCCACCTGGTACGCTAAAATGCTATGCAACACCAAATGGCTTCTTCCCCAATACTGTTCAACAATAGAATTCCTCAAGAATAAGCTTCATGTTATGTTGGCATCTATGTGTAGTGGGTGGTTACAGGTTTTTTTTTTTTTTTTCCCCCTTCTTTTAATAAGAGGCAAACCACCTCCATTGCAATCTGTTTGGGGCTTGTTCCTGTCTTTTTCAAGTGTGAAATATAAATCATGTTTTTATGATTTTTGTAAATCTGGACTTTTTACACCTTGTTTTTGTAAGCAGAAGTTTCTTATTAAAAGAATAAAATGGCTATCTTTGTGTGTGATCTTTATTTCAAATATTTGTTATAACACCATCATTATTCCTTGCAACAAGAGCAAAGATCACCCCCTGCAGAAACTTAGGAACTATGTACAGAATTTTACAGAACAGAGGCAACACTTTGGCAGAGGCTGAATGTTGACCATAGAGTGGAATTCACCGAGGCAAGAGGAAGGTGAAGGTGCCCTCTGAATCCAACTTCAACTACCATCAGGGCAAACTTGTACCAGTCACAGATTGTACGCTGTTTTTGGAAGGTTTGGGTGCAGCACAGGAATTCCATTTATCTGCAGTAGGATCATAGGACAACAGGTGGCATTAGAAATAGAAAACCAGTTAAGAAAGATTTAGAAAAGCTAAGGATTTTACATCAAGATTCTTTACTACATTTCATGAAGAGGTGATGTAAATTATTGCTTCTCCTAACCTCTGGAACTTCTAAGATAGGCAGAGGGGTGGTTAAGTGCTCACCTACTTGGCTAAACCCCTGGCTGAGGTGCCATTAGGTCAATGTCACTCAAGTTCCTGGCCAGCCAAACTCCCGCAGCAAAGAGTCCCAAGTTCAGGATCAAGTTCCTGGATAGAGAATATATTTCATTAACCCTGTGGTCATTGAGTCACCTGTACGGCTAACAAAATAAAATATAATAAGAAGCAGGGCGCGGTGGCGCACTCCAGTAATCCCAGCGGCTGGTGAGGCAGAGCGGTGGGGGCTGGGCCGAGACAAGGAGGATCGCCAGTTCAAAGCCAGCCTCAGCAACCTCAGCAATGGCGAGGTGCTAAGTAACTCAGTGATCGAGTGCCCCTGAGTTCAATCCCCAGTATATATATTAAAAAGCTAATCATTTCTTGATGCATTGATAAATGGTTATTACATGGTATCGTTGCCCAATACCCACATGAGAACCTAGGATTCGCCTCTGTTCCTAAAGAGCAAGATCAATTGCAAAGGCCAATTAGGCACTCGACCAGGGCTGAAAAGCCTGTTAGTGTGTGGACGCCACCTGCTCCCCGTTCCCCTCGTCAGGGCGTACTAGCCACGTGATATACCGATTTTCCCACATGGGAATCCTCCCGGTTAAGAACCTCAGCAAAGCACATTCAGAGGTACTTAGCGCTACTACGTTGGCAACGTACAAAACCGGACGCCAGCCTCGCCGAGAGGGGGAAATTCAGGTGTACACGGGCTAGAGGGACCAAGCTCTCCGTGCTCAGTTACCTCCGGAAATCATTCCTATCGGTGGCAAAGCGGTAGACTCCCCGAAGCCAGTCTCCTACGTTGTCCGGAATTTCAGGGGCTTCATTTGCCGACCCGGCAGCGCTCACCGTAACGCCGCTGGAAGCCATTAATACTTTCGATGTCGGCACTGCACTTGGAAGACAAACCGTACAGGCGTCCGCCACACGCAACTTCCGGCCTGGCGCTTCCGCCCACAGGTAGAGGGCGCTGTCGCTCTAGCTTGCCTCTAACCGCCGATGGCCACTCTGCGGCTGCGCTTCCACTAGCGCCGGGAGGTGGGGAGTACACGGCTCAACTCTACCGTGCCCTCCGTCTTGTCCCACCAGACTTCCGGCTCCGCAGTCAGTCATCACCACACGTGCTAAATTATCATTTCGATGGCTCAGGATGAGGGTGCTGGGGATGAGGGCTAGTTTAGGAGGGAAGGCGTAGCTTTGAGGAATGGGATTTCCCAAGAAAATCTCTACGAAAAGTCAGAAAAGTGTAGTGTTGAAGAGATGCACTCCAAGTTTGTCACCTCGCTGACTCACTCAGGCAGCGATCCCTGATTAAATTCAGCCTAGGATTTATAGAGGGAAGAGAGCCTTGTTCTCCCGCGTTAAGGATGCCGCCCCTTCAAACCCCAATCTCGGCTGCGCCACTAGCAAATGGTGCAATGCTTCCTGGAGGTGTCGCTATCCTCTGCCTGGAAGCTTCCGAGGGTCTTCCTGAGCCGCGGAAGACGCTGGCCTAAGAAAAAGCCTTCGGGTTCCGAATCAGAGGAAGAGGAGCAGGTGGGACATGGGCAGGACGCGTCCTCCTTGGGATCACGGGGCGTCTCCAGGCGTTCTAGCTCCCGCCCACTCTGGGTTTCCAGGCTGGAGCTGGAGGTTGCGGCGGGAAATTCTGCCCGGGAGGTGAACACGGCGTTTAACGAGACGTGGTCCTTTCTTTCAGTTGGGTCTGGACTTCCCTCCCCTGTTCCGGACCGGGTCAGAAAGGCTCTTCTCAGATCCCGAAGTGCTCTGCACAAGCCTGGCACAGCGACCCACTGAAGCTAGCGGGGTTGGGCGCAGCCTCCTGCCCCGCCCCGGGCCGTGCGCGCAGCCGCCGCCGCGAGTCCTCCCCAGGGGCCCCCGCCTCTCCCTGCTCCGTCCACCAGCCGGCGGCCGCGTCCCCCGCCCGGGAGCGAGTCCGGCGCCGCAGCCCCGACCGCGGCGCAGGGTGGGTTCGGGAGGCCCTTGGAGCGCTCCGGCCAGGGACGCGCGGTGAGAGCTGCGGGCCCCGAAGCTCGGGTCTGGGGGTTGCGGTGGGAGGACGGGGGCGCTGCTGGAGGAATGGGACGGCGTGGAACTGGGGCGAGGGTCCCGCCCGGGAGAACCCCCTCCTCTACCCAGCCCAAGCCACCACTCCCTCCCGCATTGATCTGCACCTACTCTTCCCTTACCAAGGGACGCCCGCCCTTCCAGTGTCCCCGCCAGGCTCAAGCCCGCATCTGAGTAGCGGCTCTCAAAGCAACTGGGGCAGTAGGGGCTGCCCCCCGGCAGGGCATAATGTCCCCCGCGGAGGGGCCCAGCGCAGCCCTGGCAGCAGAAGTGATTCTCGTGCCAGCGCCGTCCCTCTGCCTCTGTGCAGCGCCGGGAGAAGATCAACTGGGAGAGGGAGAGGGAGAGGGAAATATTCCATTCATTCATTCACCCATTAATTCATCCAATAACCACGCCTTATACCTAGTTAACGCTAAAGCACGTCCACAGACATTTCCATTTGATGTACTTCGTCACTCTTAGACGCGTGTGGACTGATTGGCTTAGCCAGGATCCCCAGCTAGCAGGTGGCAGAGTCAGAAGTTCAACCCTGGGCTCCTGGACTCCCAACCCAGGGCTGGGCCTTGCCTCTTATGCTGATATTAAGGGTCTTTCTAGCATGATTAAGCATAGCATTGAGCATCACACACGCTGAGATGAATATCCAAAATATTCATTCCCTGCTCCAGAGAAATCTCTTGAGTCCAAAAATTTTGAGGGACTCTGCTTGTGATTGGGGGGGGGCACAGATAAAGGCAGTGGGTCTCACATGACCAGAGCTCAAGTGAAAACCCCCGTTGGATGGTCTGGCTGGTTCCTAGTTCTCCCTACCCCACCCTGCAATACTGGGTCAGGCTACAGCCCATAGAATATCTGTCTCCTTACATCCAGTTATTTTGGGCTTTGGGCAGTATACCCCTCCTCTCCCTCCCCTCAGTGTTATACCTGGTCACAAGCTGGGCATCGTGGCCGCAGCAACTCAGCATGATGACGACCACAGTAGAGATGCCCATCATGGTAGAAGTAGATGAGGTTTACCAGGGCCTGGCCACAGGCCTGGCAAGTGAAGCAAGGCCGGTGCCAGCAGCACTGCTCGCCTGCTGGGGCTGCAAACACGCTGTACTCTCCAGGCTTCAGCTGCTCCCTGCACTGCCGGGTGGGGACACTGGGCAGGTCACAGTCACAGTCTGAACCAACCTTCCAGCTTTCCTTCTGGCTTCCATTGCAATCCCAACCTAACTTGTTTTATGCCCTGGCAGGCCCACCCCCTCTGCAGTCTCCACCAAGAACTCCCAGACTTGGTTTCCCTTTGTCCCTAAGGTGCTAAATTGCCCATCCCTAAGCCCTGTCTCCCCAGAGTCCCAGAAGCTAGCCCCTTCTGTAGAAGTGAGAGGGCAAGGAGTGGAGAAAGGAAAAGGATTGGGGAAGGGGAACTCCATACCTTCTCACAGGTGTGTCCTTCAAGCTGGGGAGTTACCAGGTGGGCCACCCCTTGTCCTAGGGCCTTCTGCTTCCGCTGGACACAGAAGAGCCGCAACTCAGCCAGTTCATCCTCCCCAAGGGTCAGGCAGTAACGTTCCTACAGAAACAGGCCTCTACTATGACTGGGACAGCCCCAGCAGGCAGGACTAAGGTTCAACTAGAGAATTCTAGAAGGCTTAGTTGCTGGGTATGATAGAGCTAGAACCTCAGGAAATAGCATAGATGCACTGAAAAGAGGGGAAAACGATTAAGAAAGTCTACCACTGTCTCACCCTGTTCTCTCCCAGAAAGGTAATAACTCGGGGCCTGACAGCCCCATACCCTGTCACCACATATCTAGGTCCTTGCTCCCAAAAAGCTACAGCTCGGCATCATTTCCTGTTCTTGTGTTTTCTCTATTTCATATGCTTCTGTCTTGCCTCCCAATTGAACTGTAAGCCTTTAAGCTGGGCACATGTAGGACCTCAATAAATACTAAACCACCATGCTCTCTACATTTGTACATTCCATTATTGGTTTCAAAAATTGTTCATGTCCATTTTCTCATTTGCTTTTGAACTAAGCATTGTGGAAGACATGGCAGATGTTATTGCACCCATTATGTAGATGGGAAACTCAGGCTGCAGGGGAATGATTCCCTCTACCCCCCGCCATAGTAGAAGAGCTTTACTTCCCACAGCAAGTAAAGGGGGAGAGAAAAAAGGAGACAGGCAAACAGAAGGGGAGGTGGAGAAAGAAAACTCACATCACTGTCCTGTGGAGGGAGCTGCTGCAGGAGGGTCTGAAGCCCAGGCCAGTTGGGGACATGATTGGTGTCCTGATGAGGTATGCCCAAGCTCAGAAGTGCAGGACCCTGAGGGAAGACAGCAAAAGAGGAGAGTGGAGCTAGGTCTTATTCTTCCTTTCCCCCTTTCTTCCTCCTCAATGCCATCTCCTCCAACCTAGAGCAGCTTCTAAGCAAATCCCTTACACTAGGATATTCCTTCCAGATCCTCAATGCACAAGGACACAGGTCACTCCTGCATCTGTAATCTGTCTTTATGGAGTCCCCCAAAAGCTTCCCTTCTTGTACTTGAAGCTACCCGCTTTATTCCTTGAGGCCAAAGCCCTCAGGTTGGCTTTGACTACCCAAGCCCTGGGAGAAGTAGTATATATTCATGGGAATGAGTTTATCCACATCCTGAGGGGCTGTAGAGAAAGGAATTCCTGAAGAGGGAAAAGGGCCACAAGAAGTTAGCCACAAGAGAAACTGCCTCCCACTTGATGGGAAGGGAGGAGGTCCAAAGGACAGAGAGCATGTTGGTCTCAGGAAGGGCAATACTCTTACTACCTGAGCAGAGGTATCCTCAGGGTCCTCTTCTGGCAGGTGGCCTGAGTCATCTGAGTTGGCCGAAGGAACTAACTCCCTGGAGATGGGACTGTCCTCTTGGTGGAGCCAGCCAGAGTTCAGCATTGACATTGGTGGCAAGATCTATCCCAAAACAATAAAAGCCACCTCCATTCATTGGGCCCTTATAGTATGCTAGGCAGTGCTGAGTGCTTACAGGCATTATCTCATTCAATCTTGCCAACAACCAGGTGACTTAGGTGGTATTGTTGTCCCCATTTTATATATGGCCAAGCAGAGGATCAGTGAACATGAATGGTATACCCAAGGTCAAACAGCTAGTTAAGTGTCAGAGCCAGATCTCAAGGCGAGGCCTTTCAGCTTGAGTTTCTGAAGTTCAAATTCTGGAGTCTCCCAAGATTAGGTGGAAGGGAAAAGGAGTCCCACAGTGGGAGGAGAGGGCATTTTGCTTTTTTGGTGAGTCCATGGGCACCCCACAACAACCGAATGCTCCCCATTTCTCCATAAACCCATGTCCCTCTCAGCTCATCTAGTCTATAAGCTCTGTAGGACAGAGGAAAACGTTGTGCTTTTATTTATAGCAGCTATTTATTTCTTGTTTTCTTTATTTTTCTTTTGCAGTGCTGGAAATTGAATCCAGGGCCTTGCCCATGCTAGGCAAGTGCTCTACCACTGAGCTACATCCTCAGCCTCTATGGCAGCAATTTCATTGGATAATCTTAATACATTTCTTTAGACTTCCTTAGCAAGTCCTGATGTGACTGCAGTATCTTGATGGTGAAAAGAAACTACTGAAGTATAATAGAGATGGGCCCTGCCTTCAAAGAATTCATAGGCTAGTGGTGAGACCAGACCGAATGGGACTGGAACGCTGGGCACATCACACACACTGGGGGAAAAAAATTACCATTACCACAGCAGCCAGTGTGCAGTGGTACAGGCTGTGATCCCAGCTATTCAGAAGGCTAAAGCAGGAGAACCACAAGTTCGAGGCCAACCTTGGCAACTTAGCAAGACCCTGTCTCAAAATAAAAAAAGGGGTAGGGACGTAGCTCAGTGGTAAAGTGCCCCTGAGTTCAGTGGAGCTGGTGGTGGGGAGGATTACCATAGCCAATTTTTTTGTTTATTCTGTGCCAGGGACAATTTTAGGATTTTACATAATATAGTCCATCCCCACAATAATCCTATAAAAGTTTCTTTTGTCCCATTTTGCAGCTGAAACAAACTTTAATATGTCCAAGGTCACACTAGAAAGCTAAAGAAAGCTTTAGGAGGAGGTGGCCTCAGAGCTGGATGGAGTCTAACAGCAGCTGGGAATAGGGGGGTAAATATTAAATCTCTGGCCTCTTTTAAGACATGACTTTGGAGTTGGGCCCAGGTTTGGACCATAACAGTTATCAGTGCTTCCCAGGCCTGAATCCTCCTCAGCCCTGTTTCAAATGTCCTGTGCCACCCTTCCCTTCTTTCTGGTTCCACACCCACCTGCTTCCTTCCTGTTCTGTCCTCAGGTCAGGCAGGTTTCCTGTGGAAGACAGCCAGGATGGACTATTCAAACTGGGAGCCAGGAGTAGCAACTTCCCCTAACAGCACTGACCCTGCTCTAGACAGCAAGAAGGGGGACATATGGGACCCCAGAAGGGGATTTGCACTTTCTTCTAGGTTAGTTAATAACTGAAGTTTAGCACGGAATTGTCAGAATTTAGAAACAACGCTCAGATCTTTGTCTCTCACTCTTCCCCCACCTCTACCCAGAGCAGCCTAACTTACCTCCACCTAGCACTGGACCCCACCTTACTAACATGCCATATTTCCCCTCCCTCCTCTCCCCAGATGAGGGACAGGGTTGAACCGTCTCTCGCGCCTCCCTGCAGGTGGAACCATGCTCAGGGAGTATAGAAATCCCCAACCCACGTCTGCCTAGAAGGGCAGAGTCCGACAGGCTCTAGGGATTGGCGAGCAGGAGGTAAGGGGTTTCCCCGGACAGTTGGGGGGAAAGGGGCGGGGAGTGTCCGGTGCCGCCAAGTGCCCTCTTAATAGATCCCAAAGTTTTTCTGCGGGCCCACCCGCAGAGAGGGGATATGGGGTGGTGTGGCTTCCAAGTCTGCTCTGGCTCCTTGTCTGGCTGGTAGCCTAGGGAAGGGGACCGGGACTCCGCCGGGGCCTCACCGCAGCTTCCCGCCGGTGTCCGCGCTGTTCTGGACGGACCCGCCGTCGGACCCTCCCATGGCCCCGCCCCCCGCCTCTGCGCGCGGGGTAGGTGCGGCCCTTCCTCCGCCGCTTCCCTAGCGGTCCTCGCCCGCCCGCCTGGTCCGGCTGGTGGAGAGGGGCGCCGCGGGGAGGGGGACTTAAGAAGAACATTCATGGGATCTCAGGGTGGAGACAGAGCAGGCTGCCCTGCCCTCGCCAAGCGTGGGCTTTGGGCCGGGACTCCGCCGAGGTTCTTAGCCGCGCGGAGAAAGAAAGCGCACAGCGGAGTCTGCAGCCTCTGCCCCCCGGAAGGTCCCAGGTCCCCTCAGACCTCCCCTCTGGCCCCAACCCTACCCCTCTCGGTGTGCTTCCCTCCCGTTCCCGTCTTCTTGTCCCCGTTGGTCCTCCCGCCGTTTTTCCTCTCCTCAGCCCTCTAGGGTCCCGCTCTCTCCCTTTTTTTCCCTGGGACACTCTCCCCTATCTTTCTTGCCTCCTCAGCCCCGTCTCCGCTTCAGGCCCCGCCCCGCTCCCGCCAGAGTTTCCAGCCGCTGACCGGGAGCGCCCTCTGGCGTCTGCGCATGCTCCCTGTTCCCGACTGCAAAGTCCTCCAAAGGGACCTTCTAGGCTGTGCGCCGGTCGCCCCCGCTCGGGTCCGCCCGCCCGCAGCGTCTCGTTGGTGCTGCTGGTGACCTCCGACCCCGCGGCCGCGGGGCGGGGCGGGGAGGCCTTAGCTCCGGGCGGGCGGCGGCTACTGCAGCGGGACCCGGGAGCGGGGCCCGGCGCCGCCCGGGCCGAGGGGCGATGTGAGTCGGGGCGCGGCGGGGCGGGGACGAGGCGGCTCTACTGAGGCCGCGTCGCGCCGCGCCGCAGTCTCCGCTCCCTCCCTAGGAAGCCCCGGGCAAGCGGGCGGTGGAGTCCCCAGGGCTGGGGGCGGGGATCCAGGCACGGTGCGCGGCCCCGACCTTCCCATTCCTTGCGGGTCCCTAGAAATAACCCCTTGACAACCCTGTTGCCAAATCTGCCGCTTACTCCCCAGACCCTACCCTCTCCCCCTCCCCCGTCACACCTTCGCATCTCCTGTAGCCCTCAAAACCCCTTGATCACTTTACGAATCCCCTGAAACGCGTACAGACCCACCGTTCTGAATGTCCCCAAATGCTTCCACTTCCCTGAAATTTCTCAGATCGAGCCTTCATATCTTCTGTTTTCTTTGCACCATGCTCAAATCCAATTCTTGCCCACGTCCCTCCTTTGCATGCATGCATTTCAGTCACCATAACCCCATCTAACTCCAGTCCCCACTCCATACCTATCCTAGATGGGAGCCCCCTCCCCCATCCTTCCCGCCCAATGGAATCTCCTCTCAATGGGTTATCTAATGATATGTCCAAACATCATCTGATGGAAAAGATGGAGACAGGAAAAGTACAACCCTTCCCCCACTTGCACCCCGTAGTTCTTGGTTTCACACACAATCCTCACTCCCTCTGATAGCTTAAGCTCCAATGTTTTCCCAGGAATCTATCTTTAGGCTATGCACATCTCCTTTGGCCTGCTTCCTCCTTCCTCCTTCCTCCCAGAGAATAAACCACACTAAGAGGGTGGGGGTCCTTTTACCTAGGAGTTGTGCAAAGATGCAGGGCACTGTGTCCCTGGGAAATACTTTTTCCAGAGCAGGAGGGTGGGGATTTTGAGAGTCTTCAGAGTCTTAGTTTGTTGACTTTTCTACCTGGGGTGCAGATGCTCTCAAATTTGGTTTGTTAATATTTTTGTTAAAATTGGACTTTTCAGAGTTTGGGGAACAGAAATTCAGTCCAGCTTCAAAATGTGCGATTGAAGAAGCTTGTCCTGGAAGAGGAAACTGTCCATTTTAGTGATGTTGGTCTTACATACTTACCTCTAGAAGTTATTGAAGCTATGAGTGCCACAGTTTTCCAGTGTTTCCCCTAAAAACTAAGGCCTCGAGTAGGAGTTGGGGATGGGGTAGTGGGGAATTGACTTGATAGTCTCCCAGATATTTGGTAGCAACAAAACAGACTATGATATTGGTTTCCTGAATCTTAAGCCAGTGCTATTTCTAGTACATTATAATGTACTTTTTAAGAAAGTTCTTTGTAGAGTTAAAATTCTTTGCAAAAGTAAGGCCTTGTTTTGGGTGTTGCTTGTAATAGCACTGACAGGGGAATATAAACCTGGAGGTCTTGGAACATCTTGGGTGTCTCAGACTTCAAATTGATGCCAGAGGAGTCTCTCCCTCTCTGAGCCTATGGGGCTTAGAATTTGTGGTCCCATGATCTTTCTTTATAGGTGTTTCTGTCCCATTGGGATCTAGAACAGATGTCCAGATGGAATGGATGATAACAGTTTAGTTTCATTATCAGTTGGGGTGAGGATAGGAGTTTTCCATTAATCTCTGTTTTCTGTGGTCTCTGTTTTCTATGCTAGGTGAGCCCCAGGTGTGACCCAGAGGGATCCAGGTGTCTTCTCTGCAGGCTGTTTGCCATGATACCCCACCAAGGACAGGGGGAATAAAGTGGGAATCCTTCCCCATGCCCCTCCCATGGTCAGCTCCCCAATGGCCTGGGTGAGGTAAGAGCTGCATATGGAAGTCAGTTTCCTGGAGTTTCCCAAGTTGGGAGGAATAGAGAGTACAGATCATTGGGTTGTTCAAGTCTTGGTACATCCTGCAGTTTTAGAAGGATAGTTGATCCAGTCAGCTCATTCTTGCAGCAAATTGCAACCTCTTGAAACTTCTAGTTAGAATTGGTCCCTGGGTTTCTTATTTCCTTAGGTCACTCAAACCTGGTGGTATCCTCTCCATCCTAGAATAGGCCTCACTGTTATGATATATTATCCAAGTTTGCCAGAATCCTGGAGGGAAAAGCTAAATAGTAAGGCCTCTGGTCTCCCCTTTGGTCAGTGGGGAGCAAAGCCAGCATTTTGTTTCTGTTTTGCAGTGTTGGGGATGGACCCTGGGTCCTAGTGCAGACAAAGCACACACTACCACTGAACTATAGCCCCAGAATGTTTTTAAATGGAGAAATATTCAATCAAGGTTATAAAAATTGTGTTATTTAAAACCTTAAGTTTTTCAAATGTGTCTTTATGATTGTAATGTCACAATTTATTTGAAGAAAACACCCACAAGAAAATTTTCAGGTGGATGTTGGGATAGTAGTGAAGGAGGAAAGAACTTGGATGAAGTTGAAGGGGTAAAGTAAAAAAGGAGGTGGAAAAAAGAGAAAGGTACAGGCCAAAGTATCTAGTACTTCCAAGTGACAGTGTCTTTGCTGAATCTGAAAGAGGGCCTTGGGTTGGCACACTAACTCTCAAAACAGGGTCACTTCTGGGCCCCGATCATATCAATACTTTTTCTGCAGCCCAGATCTTTCTTCCCTACCTTTCCACGGGTCAAAATCCTGCATATTTCCTAAGGTCCAGGTTGAATGTTGTACTTCTGAAAAGCTTTTTCCATCCGCCCCCCCCCCCCACCATTAGCATGAACCCTTAACACATTCTAACTCAAATTAATGTTTATCCAAAGTCTATCCAGCCCTGAAATGAGAGTAAATTCTTTTGAGGTTTATGTCATACAGTCTCTTGGACAGAGCAGGTGGTCACAGTGAGGTGATTCTGCCCAAGTTCCCCAGAGCCGGGCTTTTTGGAGTTACTGCTGGTGATCTGCTTATCTCTTATATTTTTCTCTAGGGTGGGCTGGCTGCTCTGACACCATGGGGAGCTGCTGTAGCTGCTTGAACAGAGACAGCGTCCCAGACAACCACCCTACCAAGTTCAAGGTACCTAGAGCCATCTCCTCCCTTGAGTTCCTAATGGCCTCTTGGGCTGAGGCCCTGTGCAGTCACCTCAGCCTGTCTATGGAAAGTGAAATGGCAGCCTGAGGTTATGGGATTAAATCTTCTCCCATTTACAACCTCTAAGGTGGCCTGATTTAAAAAAAGGCCCAGGCCATTGTCATTTTTCGCTCTTCTTGATACTATTAAGATTATGTTTAAGACAGGCATCTTGGCATATGCCTGTAATCTCAGGAGGATTGCAAGTTCAAGGCTAGCCTCAGCAACTTAGCAAAGCCATAAGCAACTTAGTGAGACCCTGTCTCAAAATAAAAAGTAAAAGAGCTGGAGATGTGGCTCAGTGGTTATGTGCCTCTGGATTCAATCCTTGGTACAAAAAGAAAAAAAAAACTTGAGCAACAAAGGTGTACCACTCTGATAACTTTGAAATTAATATTTATGTTTTTAGAGTTCTATTATTTTGAGAAAAATAATACGTGATTGATATAATATTCATTAATATTACTGATGATACTATTATTAGTAGTGATATTTAATATATAAAGTTAATGATAACAAATTATCTAATAAGCTCTAGATTATGATTTCCAATCTATTTTAATGCACCTGTGTCAATTTCATGGTAATATTTGCAGAATAGGAAACTTGGGACTAATGGGTTAAGTAATGCTTAGCACATGATAAGCCTTGTATCAGTTTCCTGTTTGCCTTTTGAAGCTAAAGCCAAACTCCCTTGGGCCAAGGTCCCCTGACCCCTCCCTGAAGGGGGCGCCTCCTCCCCACACTGGGACATTTTGGGGCATGTTGAAGCATGTTTCTCTGCCTACCAGAGGAGGGAGCCCTTAGCAAGGTCACACAGTTGGGGAAGTAGAGGCAGTATGTATTTCTTCTGCCTTTGGCTTGATATTCCTGACATCTTAAGAATTTGAACTTACAGTTTAACCCTTTCGTTATAAATGTCTGGCCTTTGGATACCAAGCCGTGGACTCTCCGGGATTATTTAACCCTGGTCATCTAACCACTGACCTTGGGGGTCAACTATTTCCCTCTTCTCTCTGTTCAGATGACATAACTAAGTCCCATAGAGGAGGGGGTTGCCCAGATAATTGCCATGTGCCCAGCTCTGTTTGTATATCCCCAGTGACTGTGGCATTCAGACATTGTCTGGGTGGAGTTAGGTAATACCCTGAAGTCTCCCAACTCCTGCCTGAAAAACTGCATCCTGGTGGCTCAGGGTCCACTCTTATTGGACTCACTCATTGACCTTTCTGTCCCCTCCCCTCCAGGTGACCAATGTGGATGATGAGGGGGTAGAATTGGGCTCAGGGGTGATGGAGCTGACACAGAGTGAGCTGGTGCTGCACCTGCAGCGGAGGGAAGCTGTCCGCTGGCCCTACCTCTGCCTGCGACGCTATGGCTATGACTCTAACCTCTTCTCCTTTGAGAGTGGCCGCAGATGTCAGACAGGCCAGGGTGAGTACCATCCCTGCCCATTCCCCGGGACAGGGGCTTGAGCACCTGGGGATGGAAGATATAGCACCAGAGACTGTTGGGAAGTTTGTTGTAGAATTTGAGAGTGGTCTTTAACATCCAACTTAGCCATCAGACTTGACAGGTGTTGTCAAAAAAGGAGAAGAGTCTTAGCCAAAGGTACACAGCACTTTGTTACAGAACTATGTGAACTTCCAGGCCACTGTTCTATCTCTTTGGTCATTGAGTTTCCATTTCGTTCAGTATTTGTAAGAATATCTGTTGCACTGCCTGTGGGAAAGAGTCAGTGCTCCTAGGTCAGAGCCTTCCTAGTAAAAGCAAATGACTCTCCCCTTTATTACTGCAGTTATAAGGTTCCTTCTTGCCTCTAAGTAGAAACAGTTTTTTCTAAGCTTCCAGGTCATACATTCTGGACCCTATAAGTAATGAAAGACACGTCAGTTAGGAGACTGGCTCCTCTGGGCATGAGTGGCTTGGGAATGATATCTGGGGAGTTGGGACACTTGGGTCTCTACTGGACATATTAACCCTCAGGAGGTTCACCTGTGAGCAGTGGAGTAAGGTATTCTCTCTTCTCTCTCTCCCTGCAGCCAGAGACCAGGAGGTGATAGACCATGAGGTCAAGGTTAGAGCCAGCCATGACTCTTTGAAGGAGTTGCACGTTCTGGGTTTATGTATAGGATCCATATATAATGCTGCAAAGAGTCCTACATGAGATTAGGTTAAATGCAGGTTGGGATTATAACTTCAGAAAAGGGATGATCAAATTTCTCCACTGAGGTGACCAATAGGATGGTGAAAGTCATATTTGCTGGAGGAGCCTTCCTCTCCATGCACCTCACCCTTGGAGCTCATAGACAGAGGCAGGCATCACTGAATGAGCAGAGGAAGGGACAGGAGAAGTTTCCTATTCCTAAGGGGGTTTGCTCTTCATTTGGCATCCTAGAGAGTCTGCCCTAACCCTCAACACAGGGTTCTTCCAAAACTCCAGGCTTTCCCAGTCTTTTCCAACCCTGATTAATCTTGCCAGAATAGCCTATTTTCTTCCTCTCTCTCTTTTCTGCAAACCACAATTGTCCTATACTGTGCCTTGTGTTAATAGTAATATCATAATATAATAGTAATTATTGTCCATACCCTAGCCTAATTGTATTTATCTTTGCTGAGGATATGTATACACACACACACTAACCCCAAGTAGCCTGCCTCTAGTCTCAGGTCCCACTGTTGCAGAATCCAGGCTGGCCCACCACCAAGGTGATCTCTCTACTCCCTGAGTCCCTGGACAGAGTGTGTGTTGGAGTTGGAAGGGCAGTGAGCTGGCTGCATCTGGGAGCCGCACAACTGCGTTGCCAGACCTGCCTTTAACTCTGCAGCTCTGCATCTTTTCTCCCTCCCTCCCTCCCTCCCTTTCTTCCTTCACAGATAATGTGAGTATAGGGCACAGGATACTTTGGGCCCAGCCCCTCCAATAGCCCTGAGGTTCTAGAGTGCACCTGGGAAGAATGATCAGGGCAAGGAGAGGTATTTCCAGGTCTCTGCAGCCCTGGGACTGGAGTTCAGGGACTTTCCCTGTACTTGGTGTGCCTGTGGAGCTCTTCAGCCCTGGAGTCAAAGGAGCCATCGTTTCTTCCTCTCCTTCTCCAGGGATATTTGCCTTCAAGTGCTCTCGAGCTGAGGAAATCTTCAACCTCCTCCAGGAGTTGATGCAGTGCAACAGCATCAGTGTGCTGGAGGAGCCAGTCATCATCACCCGCAACAGCCACCCCGCTGAGCTCGACCTCCCTCGGGCCCCCCAGCAGCCCAATGGTGAGGAGACCCCCATTCTGGGACCCCAGTGTACACACACAAAGCACAGGCCTGGGAAGTACAAGACTGGGAGGCAGAGGCATGAGTCAGGCTGACAGGTGGGGGGACAGCTGGGTGAGCCAGCTTTCCAGGACAGTTGTCCATCATTAGAACCACGCTTGAGGATGGATAAGTCCTGGGCTGGACCAATCAGGTGACTCAAGCTGAGGCTGTGGAGTCCTGGGCCTTGTATTGACTAATGGTTGAGGAACAGACAGGAAGACTTTGGGTTTCCATGGAAACGGCAGTCTGGAGCTTTTTGCTTCCTTTCTTCTGTCTGCTGGGTCACACATCTACCCCTCTGGCTGCTAGTGCAGGCATCTCTAGCTGTGACTCTCCTGGAGGGTTCCCATGGCTTCTGCTTTCACTCACTGAGTCTGGACCACACACCTGCTTGCCTCTTGGTACTCCCTGAGCTGACCTGAGGATGGAAAGGGGGGGGAAGAAAGGATAGAAAACAGTCTGTTTTGGAGGAGCTTCCTGGAGCCCGCCAGCAGAGCTGTAAGGCTAAGGGGAAGTGCAGGGACAACAGGTGTGGCTTAGGTGGTTCAGGAAGGCTATAATGGAGAAAGTGGGGGATCGACTTCAGACTGACCTCTGAGGGGCAGGGCAAGATTTGAGGAGCAGAGAGAAGGTGAAAGGCCATGCGGGCTGCCAGTGTAGTGGACTGATTCCTCCCCTGGGACACAGCATATATGCAGTTACAAGTGGCTGTCAAGTGGTTTAAGTACCCTCACCTGGGCTTGCCTCCCCTGGGCCCAGCTCTAGGCTACACTGTTTCCAGCTTCTCCAATGGCTTTCCTGGCTGCCCTGGAGAGGGCCCACGATTCTCTGTTCCCCGGCGGCCATCAACAAGCAGCCTGCGACACTCTTCGCTTGGGGAAGAGTCCACCCATGCCCTCATTGCCCCCGATGAGCAGGTGAGCATGCAGCTGGCCCTGTTGGTTTGGGTGGAGACAGGAGATAGGAAATATGGTCACCTCCTCCCAGGAAGGATCATGTGAAGGGGGCTAAAATTGATGGGGTTCCTTCCTGTCCCCACAAGAGAGGGAGTGTCTCTGGAAGGTTTGGAAGATGAGGAGAGAGGAGACTCCAGCTTTTTTTCCCTGTGCCTCTTTTGTCTTCCCCCATCTGTTCTATCCTTTCCTTCCTCCTGACCCTTGGACCCTCCTGTCTCACTTGGATTCTTTCCCCACAGTCCCACACGTATGTCAACACACCTGCCAATGAAGATGACCACCGCAGGAGCCGGCACTGCCTGCAGCCTCTGCCTGAGGGCCGGGCACCCTTCTCCTCACAGGCCCAGGGCCCTGACCAGCGGGACCCACAGGTGTTCTTGCAGCCGGGCCAGGTGAAGTTTGTGTTGGGCCCCACTCCTGCTCGGCGGCACATGATGAAGTGCCAGGGCCTCTGCCCCAGCCTGCATGACCCTCCCCACCACAACAATAACAATGAGGGTTCTTCTGAGTGCCCGGCCCAGCCCAAATGCACCTACGAGAATGTCAGTGGGGGGCTGCGGAGAGGTGGTGGCTGGAGACTGAGCCCAGAGGAGCCGGGCTGGAGTGGCCTGGCCCACCGCAGGGCTGCCCTGCTGCACTATGAGAACCTGCCCCCACTGCCCCCTGTGTGGGAGAGCCAAGCCCAGCAACTGGGTGGGGAGGCTGGGGATGATGGGGACTCAAGGGATGGGCTCACACCCTCCTCCAATGGCTTCCCTGATGGTGAGGAGGACGAGACCCCACTGCAGAAGCCCACCAGCACCCGGGCTGCCACCCGCAGCCACAGCAGCTTCCCTGTGCCACTGACCCGCCGCCGTGGCTCCCCAAGGGTCTTCAACTTTGATTTCCGCCGGCCAGGCCCCGAACCCCCAAGGCAGCTCAACTACATCCAGGTGGAGCTCAAGGGCTGGGGCGGAGACCGCTCCAAAGGGTCTCAGAACCCCTCAGTTCCCCAAGCCCCGGTGCCCATCACCCACCCTGCCCGCAGCTCAGACTCCTATGCCGTGATTGACCTCAAGAAGACTGTGGCCATGTCCAACCTGCAGAGGGCTCTGCCCAGGGACGATGGCACTGCCAGGAAGACCCGGCACAATAGCACTGACCTGCCTCTGTAGATGGCCCCATCCTCCACCCATGCCCACCGTGGTCTGGCCTCTGTCTCTCTCCCGTCCTGTGACCCACCCAGCTTGGGCTCAGGGCTGCTTGGCAGAAGGCACTGAGGTGGAGCCAGAAGCTTCCCAGAGTGGGCTGAAGTCCCCACAGAGGTCAGCCACTGAGTTTTCTGGTCCCCAGGCTGGAGAGAGGAGAGGGTGACTGGGCAAGGAGGAGCCGCAGCGTGAACTGTGAAGGGTCCTGTGATGGTGTCTCACGCCTCCCCTCCCATCCATTTGTCTTGTCTGTCAGCTGTCTGTGTGTGTTTTTTGGTTGGAATTTTGAAACATTTTGTACCTGTTGATTTTATTTATCAGTTTATTTTTCTATTTATTGTTTTAAATGTAATTTAACATATTTATTATTAATATAATTATTTTTAAATTCTGGCTCAATGGGTAATAACTCTTTTCTGGTAGGGGCTGGGCTGGGCATAGGGCAGGCCCAACAGGTAGGGGCTTCATTCTGGGAAGTTTGGGGTGGTTGTGGTTTTTGTAACAATTCTATGATCATTTCTTTTTCTTTAGAAAGCCCTGGCCCAGAACCTGGAGTTGGCAGAAGTGCATGCTTTGTTAAAGTGAGAGGATGACTGGGGTTCTAGATGCAGAAAGGAGACCTGTGAGGAAGACTGCCCTAAGGAGATAAGATTTGTGCCCTCTGAGACTGGCAGTGGGCTGAGCAAATGTAGTAGAGGTTGAGGGTATACAGATTCCCCTGCTCTGGGACCCTTCTGGGCAGGCCTCAGGGGATTGTTCTCTCACTCTCAACACATTTGGCCCAAAGGTGGGCCCTGGGACCTCCTTAACCATGCCCAGCATGGCTGAGCCCAGTCCACAACCTTGAAACAGGACCTTTACTATAATAGTCCAGAAACAGCAAAAGGAAAATAAGTGTGATGTATAACTAGGTGTCTGACTTGCAAAGCGGCTTTCCCAGAGAGCCACCCCTAGGATGACCTACAGAGGGCCTCCACCTTACATCAGGGGCCTCCAGTGGAGCCCCTGCCTGGGCTGGGATTGGATCAGGCCTGTGGCAGGAGCCCCTTTCTCCCCTCAGACTGCTCTTTTGGCTTCCTCTTACTGAGGACTCCCTTCCTCCAAGATGCCATTTCTAACCCCCACCTCCATGCAGTTAACCTAAAGGAACTCCAGTTTCTGTGGAAAGACCCAGTGAAAAGTGAGAGTGGGCTTGACCAAGATTAGGGACAGTTCTGTGTCTGGTCATTGTCCTTTGGAGTGAACAAACCTGTCCTCTTCCTCACTGAGGTGATGGGCCAGGGCGGGGCTCATCCCTCCATTTCCTGCCCAGCCTGCTGTCCGGAACACCGCTGCCTGGGCCTCGTTTCCGGTGGTTCTCCCCTGTATGGGGATTGGACTGACCAGACCATCCTGACCGTGGGTGTCGTGTCCTGTTAGTGAAATGGGCAAAGAGGACTGCCCACAACAGGATTATGAAGAGTCCCTTCAAGTGGGGCCCAGCGGGGAACCTTTCTCCCTTTCCAATCTTTCCTCCCTGAACTGGGAGGATGTCCGCTGTTAGCTGTGCCTTTTTCACAGTGCTATAGGACAGTGCCGCTCTCTACAGTTTCCCCAGGCAGCTCAACTCTGCTCTTTTGATATTCTTGAACACTTACCTCTGTTCTTCCTGTGGCCTGGATGATGGCCACAAACAGGAGAGTCAAGGCAGGACCAGGTCTAGGGGCCCTAGGCACGTTTGTAAGTCATGGGTCTTTGTAGGCTCCCCCTTACTTGTGGACCGACACTGTCATGGGGTAGACATGGGCTGGCTTCAGTCAAAAGACCAGGTTATGGCCCTAACTAGCCCACTCTCTCTGCTGTCTTAAGCATTTGGTTACCCCAAGTGGACCTCGGTTTTTGTACTTGGAATACAAGGAACTGGTTTGAGGTAGCCAATAAGAAGAACACAACACCACTTTGAAAGTGGACAGCCAACTAGGTGCTGGTGGTGCACACTGGATCCTAATGGCTTGGGAGGCTGAGACAGGAGGATTGCAAATTCAGAACCAGCCTCAGTAACTTTTTTTTTTAATTTTTAATATTTATTTTTTAGTTGTGGTTGGACACAATACCTCTCTATTTTGTTTATTTATTTTTATATGGTGCTGAGGATCGAACCCAGGGCCCTGCCCTTGCGAGGTGAGTGCTCTACCGCTGAGCCACAACCCCAGCCCCTAGCCTCAGTAACTTAGTGAGGCCCTGTCTCAAAATAAAAGAAAGAAAAGAAAAAAAAGAGTGGGTTGGGGATGTAGCTCAGTGGTAAATCACTCCTGAGTTAAATCTCCAGTACCAAAAAAAAAAAAGAAAGAAAGAAAGTGGACAGGCACATCTGATTATATTAAGGATCCAGCTGTTGCTGAGGAAAAAACAACCAGTAGTCCCAACTCTTGGGACCCCCCACCCCCAGTTTTCAGGCTCCCTATTCTTCCATTCAGAACACTCAGGGACCATTATCCTCATCCTTGAGCCCCAGAGCCTGTTCTGTCCCCCAAGGGTCCCCTCAACCAAGACATCATTGTTGAACATATCTGTGAGGCTTGGGGGATCTAAGAGGTCCCCAGAATTGGCTTCCAGCAAAGTGTAACCCCAACCTTCCCTTTCCCTTCCCCTGGTCACTGCCTCTGACCCTGGAGGTCTACTGTAGGAATTTTCCTTTCAGCTGGAGGGCAGGCTGTGAGTGGACAGCCTTCCTGGCAGGAAGGGGCGGGTGGGCGCCATGCCCCCGTGTTTGAGGCCTGCAGACATCAGGGCGTGGTGTGCAGATGGAATCAGACATCGCAGTCCAAAGATCATCACCAACATTGGTGCATGTTTGCTGAGTGCTCCCTTACCCCCTGGGCTGCCCTCAGGAAAGAACAGGATCCAGCATCCTGTCTGGGAGTGACATTTCAGGTCAGACCAGGAGGGGCCCTCCCAAGCCCACCCCTGTGTGATTAATAGTAGTACTTAGCCTGGGTGTAAACACAGGCGGCTTTTCACAGGGCTGCATGGCCATTCATCTCTGTCAGGACTCACTGGGCAGGATGGTTATCACCTCTTACAGAGAGGAAACAGCCAGGAGGTGAAGCAACTGGCCTGGGGCCATGAAGTTAATTAGCAGCTTGCACTGGCGCTGGATGCCAGTTGTGGGTCCACCCACCCTACCCTGCTCCCAGCCCCACAAAAGGCACTTGCTTCCCGCAGGTGGGCTATGGAGACTGTGAGAGGCTCCCCCTGAAGAAGTGAAGAAGTGTCTCAGCAGGTTCACATTCCAGTGTTCTCACTTAGGAATCTTTTTGAATTCCAAGCCAGGGCTTTGCCCAGTTAACTATAGGATGACCCTGCCTCTCCTAGAAGCCCCTGTGCCACTGTGTATCCTCAGAGAATGGCTCCTGTTCTGTGGATGGGTGGGGCTGGGACAGGTGTGTGGGAAGACTTGACCTTGCCTGCCCTCCTTTCTCTCCTGCCAGGAGGCTCCTCAGCCTCATGGGAGGCTCTCCCAGGTCAGGTCATGTCTTGAAACCCTGAGTTCTGAGGTTCTCTGACTGATGTCTTTGAAAAGGGAGTCCTACTCAGAGGATGGGGAGGGGTTATGATGAGGGACCTCTGGGCTTCCAGAAAAATCATGGAGGACTGAGGTGGAGGGAAAGATGGGCAAAAGTGGGCAGGGCCTATATGGACAGTTTCATAGAGCCCAGGAGAGAATCCTAGAGCTCGCAGGCTGCTAAACCGGGACCCATCTAGGGATGCCTTCAACTGTTCATGGAGATGTTTATCCAGTCTGCTCACACACTTCTAAGGACTTCTGAGCTCACTACCTCAGAAGCCCTCTCTACACTCTGGTCTTAAGAAATAACTACACCTCCTCCCAACAGGTACTAATTTTGCTTCTGGATCTGTACTCGACCAAGTCTAGCCTCCCGACCAAGAGGCTGGCCTTGAAATGTGGTGGAATCACATGACCATGTGCATCCACTAACAGCTTGACCTGCTTGTCCTTCAGTTTCCTCATCTGTCACAAAGGGATAATAACTGTCCCTCCCTCATAGAGTTGTGAGGGTCAAGTAAGAGACTGTCCACCCAGCAGGAGCCATGGCGACTGGCCCATACTAAGCACCCCAAAATGACAGATGTTATTCTCACCTGGACTTGGTTCTTTCCAACACACCCAGATGTTCACCTCTTTTTAGTACCAGACCTGGCTTTAACTGCCTTCAGCCCAGCACCTCCTTTGCTTTAGGTGTAATATTTTTGCTAATGCAGCCTGAATTAGCATTTGCTTCATTGGCCTTCCTGGCTCTTGGGATCTTAAACCTGGCCTGAAACCACCAGGTCTTTTCCACATAAACACCTGCAGCGTTCCTCGCTCCCAAGCCCTCTAATGTTAGGGTCCTTTGGTTTGTGAAAGTCAGAAGAGTCCATTTTTCCAGGTGACATTTCTTCCGGGCAGCCCAGGTCTATCCTGGAGTTTAGAGACTCCAGCTCTTATGTATGTGGACATGAAGGTGGTGGGAGAACGGGGATGGGAGATGCGGGTGTCAGGGAGAAGGCGCTGGGGAGAACGTGGATCAGGAGGGTTCTTCTATGCTATCTGGATCCCTCCGTCTTGGCTTCTAGAAGCTTTGCTCTATACACGGGTGGTTGGTCCAAAGCCTCCCTGCTCCCTGTGGTATCCTCCTGGCCTCTGGCCTTGCTCACCAGCCAGACTCCTCTCTGGGCCCACTTTCCCTAGAGATGGACATTTCCAGCAGAGCTGCCGGTGGAGAAAGCCTAGGGGGTCAGGAGCAGGAGCAGGAGCTCCATTCCCTTGCCGGGTAGTTGTGAGATGTCATCTCACTGATCACCCAAAGATCATTAGTTTAATGACAGCTTGGGGGTGGGTCAAGGGTCGTGGCCAGGGCCACACCTGCTGACTGACCAGGGGGCTTCCTCAGCTGGTTGCCTCTCCCTTTGCTTTACCCCTTTGGCTGGGAAGGTGTGGTCCCTTGGGGTCCCTCCCGTTCCCTCTGGTGTTCCTGGGATTAAGGACCCAGGGAACATATCAACATATTGATGTGTGTGGGGGGGGACGGTGGCAGTGTACTCAAGTACAGTGGCCTTGATCTCACAAGTAAACATTTGGACACAGCGGGGGCCCAGATAACAACATCTGGGCTTGTGTGCGCTGTGTCCTGAAAAGGCCCCTGCTCCCCAAAGCTTTCAAACTGAAGAAACAAAGCTCATGAAAGATAGGCATGATCCCTCAGGGACCTCAGGCAGATGGCGCGACCTCTCTGAACCTGTTTCTTCATCTCTCAAGGGGAACCAATGATCTTATCTCATAGTGTTGTCATGAGTTAAATGAGAAAATTCACCTAAAGCACTCAGGGGTACTTGACACAACCTGAGCTGAG